AAAATCCAATTTTGCCGTCAACTTTTTCACTTGAGAACAATCTTCATTTCCAATTCTGTGAAAATACAAATCACTTTCGCAAAGAATTTATCTGGGCTTTGTTGCCTCCGTTGTCTGTACCCCACAACAATTTCGGAAAGCAGGTAAATCCAATGAGAAAATTTCTACTGCGCTTCTCCCCCTCCCCCCCCCCCCCGCCGACAAATTTTTGAGACTTCTGTTAAGAAAGATTAGGGTGAAATGTAGTCGTGAGTGATGAATGAAGAATGTGACTCGTTTGTAGCCAATATACAAATCATACTTGGATGTATCAGTACAGCTTCGTTTTATGAATATTCAATAATCAAATCAAATCAGCAAATATCGAATCAGCGAAAGCGCAGATGAATTGTTTGCTTTGAATGACAATTAGTTACATAGAAAAGCCTCATAGCAAAAATTTATTCACGGCTAATAATTCTGCGCTGGCTTATCAAACGGTCGATACTCATTTGTGTATCTTGTGCGATTTTTCGGAGGGGACTTGTCACGGGGGATTTGTGGAGGGAACGGCAAATTTTGATCATGTCACTTTTATTCAGTTTGCTAGAGAGCTGCAACTAAAGCCGTTCAAAAGTACATTTTATGACAAGAAGAGTTTCTGTACTTGAACGAATTTTGCAGGCTTCGCACATATCTAAATTAAGTCATAGGAACTAACAATTAAATCGGCTTTGTACCTTTACATAATGTGTGAAATTCGATGGGATTGCGCTATTACTACAACTCTGAGCTTATCAAACAGCTATGTTGTTGACAGCTACTCCAAAACAACAGCTGCTGTCGAATTCCATCGAAGTTTTTCTGTCGATGAATTGCGAAGTTACTTGCACCACATAATTCGCATCAAAAGTTTCAGATTTTCTGCTAAGACCACCTTCTAAAGATAACAGCATTCTGCTAGGTCGTAGTATCATCCTGATAACGCGCATGTATCAATGCACATTGTGTGTGGCTTCTTTTATTGCGTGGCGGCGTTATCTTATCAGTTTGTCCTTTTATGGAATGGATATCATGTACACGAGTTCCAATGGCTACTCTACGAAACGAGGGGGTGCAGATCTAATCGACGAACCATCGACTATTTACCAGGAAAGTAGGCTATTATGCCGTGGCTAGGCGGTAATTCATTTGCCTTTGCATGTGTGCAGCGTATAGGTGGCTAGGGCCACAGCCCTTTGTTTGAACAGCCCTATCGGTGTAGTGCGCAGTGGGCTCGTTGTGTTGACTGACATTGTACTAGGCTTGACTTTCAGTGTCGTGGAGGAGAGATTGGGGTGGGAAGGGGGTAGAGACGAGAGGCGTTAACAAACACCTCTTTGGACAATCTGTGAGGGTGAGCACACACCGGAAAAAAATCTGAGTGACTTCCTCATTTGATGAATTGCGAAAACTGTCCACAGATTCTGGAGGTCGCTTATGTTTTTATTGGCAGAAGAATAACTGACCATCAAGCAGAGTGAACTAGGAGTTCAGCAAAAATCAAGGACCATTTTCTATAATCTGCGGAGGTTCAAAAAATTTAGTTGTATTTGTGCTCGCCCGGTCCCTTCTGAGACAATCTTCGCCAATCTCGCAACCAGAGTCTGGGCGATCTTTCCAATCCAGGGCGTGGTGCAAGTCTCAACGAACTTACTTTTGTTTCCGCATATCCAGCGTAGCCGAAAAATTCGCCAATTCTGAAAATCGCAGTTCATATATCCTTTGATTCAGGATCGACGGCTGGAATTTGACCGCTAGCACCTCCGACGCAGTCTGCGTCTCTCTCGCGGCCATGCTCTCTGATCATTTAGTCTTGATTAAGCCTCGAAGCCCCGCCTTCCAACTTGAATCGTAAGGTATGTCACAATTCATACGTTGCAGATGGCAACACAGTCCCGCAATGCAACACTTTATAAGCAGTTATTTACTAGAGATAAGCGCATTTAATCCGTGCAATGAATTTTTAAGGACTGTCGCAGGCATTAAGATACAGTTTTGAAAGAGATAAAGTCTTCAGTATGGTTCAAGGCATTTTCCCACCAACTATACAGATTTGGTAATTATTAGATCTTCGTAGTTCATTAGCAAATCAATAGAGTTCCTCTCCATTTCTATAAAATGAATGTACGGAATGTGCTTTCTACAACAGCTGAACAGTACTATGATCTCTAAGAGGCACTGATAGAAAACAACTCATCTTCCTTATCGTGGGTAAGTGCTCGTCAAATTCATCGCAAATTATGCAACTAATCGTGAAATTGTACCAATTTGCTTACTTCTCTCTTGCGTTATGGAAAAAATTCCTTCTACTATAAGGTAATTATTAGCCCTTCGTTCGTTTAACGAGGAAAGGATACTAACAGGGGAATGGTCAGAAATCGAGGTGGCCAAATCAAGCTAGCTGCATACCATTAGATGCAGCATAAAGCGCTGACTCCAAATATTTCCTTTATCTGCAGACCAGTTTTGTGCATGAAATTATAAGCCGTTAAAGGCCATTTTTCGCTAAGAAATGCGTGTTGAGTGCAAACTTGGCCACGAAGCCATTCTCGGCTCAGCGTTGGACAAAAAAATGCATTTAAGTCACTTCGTATGGCCCATATATGAAGGTGAGCTAGAAGAGCAATAATGTGCCTAATCGCAAATTATATGTACGATTTTTTCGCAGTAAAGCTGCTCATAACTTCGCCTACAAGGGCGCTCTGCAGATATGGAAGACAGATTTGAAATCGGCATTCTATGCTGCATTGAATGGTGTACAGCTTGTTTGGATTGGCCACTTCGACTTCTGACTCCCTTGTAAGTCGATCCAGCTGTTTCTATCAAAGCATATATGGTTCCTCTGTTTGGAACGGCACAAATCTGCCTTCACTATCTGCTGAACGAGTTTTTGAAATTATCATATTTGATTGCAGCGCAGCCGTTGGTGCAACAGAAAAAACGCGGAATTTCTTTGCGTAGAATTATGTCAAGACTCTTTTCAAAATTCAGCAGATTGTGTAGATGGAGCTCAGCGTTCCAAATTGGGATGAACCATATATGTCTTTACAGACAGGTAGTAAACTATCCTTTGAAGAAGAGATCTAGCAAAATATGAAAACATGCATGATTAGGGTACTAAACAAAAATCTTTTCATCCCGAGTTATTGCAGAATGTCTCAACTCCTTTCCTCATGTTGGGTACGGAAAAATTAAGAAAATAAAAAAAAACCACACTATCGCGGATTTGATTGCAGATCCCCCAGCCACTGCTGCGCAGATTTTGGTAGGCTCGCTTGTTTTATTGCAAGGTGCTGCCCAGAGTTTGATATCACTTGAAGTGATGCGCTTCAATCTTGACCGCTTATAAAAATAACGCCTTGTGACAGTGCCCGTCTATAAACGTCGATCGGAAGTTTTCGATATGTACCATTTGACAAAACTTTGGCATTCAGCAAAGTAATTTGTTTGAAAAAAAAAACTGCATTTATTCTCTTAGGCCCATTACTTTCGGATCACCCTAGTAGCTGAAACAACAATTTTTTATCAATAGGTCAAAAAAAAAACAGACAAGGTTTCTTTATGAACGGTTGCGAACTTTCCACTGTTAAACTTCAATGTTACCTTGTAACATACAGAAATTTATGCCAACTGCTGCTGGGTGATCAGCACAAAATATAGTTTATACATGAATTTGTAGGGGACTCAATTTTACAAATGCTTAAAAAGATAAGTAGAGGTGATTCTACTCCATAAAAATTAAGAAATTAAGTTGGATGTAATCTTCAGGCGCATTATTTACACAAAGGGCTTTTTAGCTAGCTCAGCCGCCATCCATCTATTCGTAAAATAAATTGTTTAATAGGTAAGTAATATAATTCATTGGCTTTCGTTGTTATAACAAATCTCTCATTCATACGAAAAAGAGTGGTTCAATGTTCAATGCTGTGTTGGTTTTTCGGAAGAGGAATGATGCTTCTATGGATCAACACTGTTATACTATTGAACATAGTCCTTCAAAAGGGGGCCCTATAAATTTTAGATCCAATTCTACACTAAGAGCTCCATAATTTCTATTACTCACTCAGACTTTGGATTCATAAATCTGAGGTACGGGAAAATGAAAAATGAAAGTGAAAATACAGGCAAAAATTTTACGTCTCAAAATGTTGACTTAACCCACATCTCCAATTCATAAGCGTTATGATATCCCCACATGTTCCAGTTTGTAATAGACACATTACTATATGCATAGCCTGTATGGAAGTTGAGCTCAAATAGCAAAAAGACGGCTGTGGAAAGTGGCAAGCTCCGCCCCATTAATCCAAGACTCTCCCCCATTTCTCAGAGATCAGCAGCTAACCTTTGATTCAATTGGTTTGGCTTCGAGAAGGTGGGGATTTATGACGTAATTAAGGCCGCTCGCGGCCGCGACGCATCTGCGTCTCTCTTGCGCAGGTGCTCTCTGATCATCAGCTAGCCTTAATTAGGTCACGGAGCCCCGCCTTCCCGAAGCCAAACCAGTTGAATCAAATGGTACATGTGTAGGGAAGTATTTACAACCGCAAATTTTTCGAGTAATGGCAGATTCAATCTAAAAATGTCCGAAATCTTTTCCAACCTGATCATAATATCCGTGCTACGATCTTAGTCGAGTCATTTTATCGAATTTTTATCGAGTAAGAGGACGATATTTGAGTGCAGCAAAATGAAGCAACCCTTAGTTCCCCTAACATCCTAAATGCCGAGGATACGACGGACTAACAAAGGATATTACCAATTTTGGTTTTCCGCTCAGAAGACGGACATAAGTTCCAAAACTATGTCAACATTCATCCATGATAAGCTTGAAGTCTATTTTTTGCTGTCGTCTGTCGGAATTAATTACCCGAAACTGACTTCCGTCTTCCTCGATCTCATGATCAAAGTACGAGTGATCTCAAGTTTCCCGCAAGGGCGGCGAAAAGTTTTTTGTGTGTTTGAACTGATAGATCGAAACAACATCATAAACTTTTAATCTCAAATTCCTTCTAATGTATCTTCTTTAGCATACTCTTCAGTGTCCACGCTCGCCATACTAGAGCCTTTCTCTTCTGTAACAACGCTTTCATCCACTTCGTCCAATGTTTTCCTATCAGCGGCATTGTCCTAAACCCAAGATAAACCTCTATATTAAAAATCTCGTCTATTTCAACTTGAATATGTACCTTGTCAGCTTCTGCGCGATCGCTTTTCACACCACCGCCTTCTTTCTCTATGACTTTCTCACCGGGTTTGTTCCACTCGTAAGGGTCTGTCCTGAAGGTCTTCGAATTAGTGTGACATTTTGATTGGCATGATCACTTACATCTTGATTTTTGGAGGTAGATCCTGCCTCAACTTTTCCATAAAAAGTTTGTATGGGGGTATATCGCGGTAAGTCAACTTTCGCAACGTCATTGCCCATTCTAAGAAGGAAGGAGGACATGCCTAAATTGTGGCTTTGAGAAATCAGCCGTTAGCTGGGGGGTTCTTTGTTTAATAGGCCCAATTTTCCATTAATTAAACTGGAAGGCCCAAGTTTCCACTAATCAGATTCTACAAAAAAGTACGAGCATCCCACCTTGCAAAGAACAGCGTCCGTTGTATTCTCTTTGACTTTGGCTGCCTCTTTTCTCACCATTCCTCTCCATGGGAGAGCACCTGTTACGCACTCTATCATAGAGTACAATCCGCCATATCTGGATTTGGACGATATTAAATTCCAATTTGCTCTCAAGAGGCTAAACGAGTAACTGACAGATCATCATGACGTCCCTGTTCCTTGTGTTGGTGGACATTTAGCGAGCAGTAACGTACCGTTCCGCGAAACATCACCTAATCAATCAGTTTTGCTCTGCTTCGAAATGTAAATTACACACCTTCACCCTTGGTTCGCGCAACTTTAGCCTCCCAGTGGCATCAGGAAGTAAGATCTGTCGAGCGAGGCCGAAATCAAAGACATATACCACCTTAAGAAATGCAGTACACACCCTAGAATGAATTTTTTTCCAAAATCTACCTGCGTATTGTAAAGGCCCATAGCTAGATTACTTGGCTTTACATCCCTATGTATAAATCCAGCTTCATGTATGTCTTGCAAACCCTGGACGTAAATGATAATCTAATATTCCGGAGGAGGAGTGCTGGGGGATATACCCTAACGACTTGAATTGATATTCTCAGAGTTGACGGTACACTAATCTTCCTATTTGGTAGGCGCCTTCTGATATCTGAAAGCTCCTTCCCCAGCAGACTCATCACAAGAAAAGTGTAGGAATCCATTTTTCCAGAAGCAAGACATCGGCAAACGTGATGGGAGCTGCAAACGTTTTCTTTGAGTTTTGATCTGCAGAGATTTACAGTCTGTCCGAACCGGGATTAAGCCGAAACGTTGGTGAAAATTTGCGCGCTCGTACGCTAGGGGTTTGCGCTGCACATGCGCGTTGTCGCAGAGAAGAGATTGAGGAGAGAGCTACAAACAAGACGTAGATGTGAGCAAAGTCGTGGCGATGATTTATCCGGATTGGGACAGGTATAACCCAGCGGCGACCCCTCCTCCCCCCCCCCCCCCAACCCGAGAATGGGTCGCGAAATCTTTGAAATCTACTTACATGGGTTATAAACATGTGCAAGTACTTGTTTATTTTTGTAAACAACTGAAATAATTTTTTAAAATTTTTCAGAAATCAAATTAGCCTTGTAAAAAAATCTGTTAGGGGTTATGGACCCGCAAAAACTTTGGGAAGCACCTCAAAGACTTTTTTGGAGGTTTTCGTTAGCCACACACCTTCATCTGAAAAGTTCTTCCACCCCCTGGACGGAAATCCTGCGACCGCCAGTGGTATTAAGGATATGTTTATTTGACATGTGCATCTTCGCTCTGATCTGCCATTAGGTTGGAGGTGAAGTGAATGTCGAACTGCAATGTACAGCTTATACTTGTATACTTCGGCATGTTGAAAACTGTGAATACCTAGCTGATACAAGACCGGGCCGGAATTATCTAGATGTGGATAACATTGGCTGACAAAACCCCATTCCACATTCCAAGACCGACGATTGCTGTGAACTGTGCCCAGTAAGTCTGCTCTTGTCAGAGCTAACTACCAGATCAGCAAAACGTGAAGGTGACCCTACCCATCGGATCCCACTTGAGGTGTCGCATGGTGACTAGGCCAATGAGGCATGTCTAGATCGTCGTGCTGTGCGCGTACAACGGTCTACAGACGTCAATCTCCACAATGGAAGCTGCAGAACAGAAGAGTACCACGTTGTTGCTCTACAGGAAAGGACGACCAAGAATGCATACCCGATTGACAAATGGGCTAGCTGACGAATTGGAACTAGTACTTTTCACGGAGACACGAGGGATCTCATCGCAATGGGAGAAGATGAAGCTCACATCAGGGTGTGATTGGCTCATTGACACCTACAAATGACGGGCTAGAGGCTTGCGAATTTAAGGATAGTGCGCTGGAACGACTGGTAAGGAGAACATGGAACGCATCTAGATGCCAGCAAAGGGTTGCTTGAAAGAAGAAGAGTCTTGAATCAGGATCCCAACGCAGTCGATCTTGAGCGGTCAGTAAAAACGCCACCTGCAAAATAGCCTTTAAGGGGACCACCTCGGTTGCAGACAATGTGAAGCACTGGACGCAACCAAAGGAAGACGCTCAAGAAATGCCGAATGAACTTTCGCGAATACCATATACTGCTGGCAGCGCTACTGAACGAACGTAACCCCGATCTACATATGATGGAGTTTTCGCTGGAGTTTTCAAACTGATCTTTTCAACCCTACGCCCTGCCACGGTCCATCATGTAATCGTAATTATCGGTATGAGAGCACGGAGTAAGCTAGAAGGCCAGGTCAGTGAGAGATCCGAATTCTTTGATATATGCCACGGAAATTCCAGGGTAGAATTCTGATGACCAAACACCAGACGCACTTTTGAATTTTCTTCAACACGAATATTTCCATTTTAAGAATTTCGTCATCTTTGCTCTTCATTAATGGTTCCACTTTCATTGCAGCCTTTCCTCTGATCTGAAAATTGGCCGTACAACCGCCAAGTAAAGTGCTTTTTGAGCTTTGTCACCTTTCCATTTTGGTCGACGATATTCACCAGGTAAACTTGTCCGCAAGCTCCTTCGCCGATTTTTCTCTTCACAACAAATTGGTCCTTGATCTTATCTCCGAGATTTATTCTAACAGGACCAAGAGGTGTTCCCATAGCTGCATGAAAGTCTGGAAGGATCGGAGATGACGAAAGTCTGACGTAGAGCCGAATACAACAGCTCACCGATATGATCTCCTAAAAATATGAATCCTACCCATCAAAGAGCTCCAAGAAGATGTGTTTACATAAGGGTTGTTATTCTGCTAATTATCAAGCGGTAGATTCAATACAAGAGTACAAGATTGGCGGTTGGTTTCGTTTAAGAGTCGAGGAATTATTCCTGTCTCACAGATATGAGCACGTCTCAAACGGCTCAAGTCTCGCGCGACCGCATCGCAAATGACCCACGCTCACGAACTTGTTCTCTGAGCATTTTCCCACACCAAGCAAACGTGAAGCTTCTCAGGAAATGACCAGAACACGTTTGTGAACGCGGTGCAGAGCCCAAGCCAGTCGGTCGAGATTTAAGGCAGCGTCCCGGCAAAATTTCAATGGAATTTTTTTTTGCTTACCTGGGCTTATTCCTCCGTGATTCTGAAAATGCAGCTTGGAGGGCACGAGAACGCCGAAAACGGACTTTTCCAGAAGCTCTCGATTTGGATTTTGTCGCTAGCCGCCAAGGTTAAGACGCAGAGTCTGTGGGACCCTAATGACCGTTGCGGTATGCGCACTCTGCTTCATCGAACTAACTCGTCCCGGTCGCCACTTCTGAAGCGGATTTCTCGCTTCAGAAGCAAATTAGTGCATTGCCAGTTGGGCAAAAGCCTTACCAGGACGGGTGCCCCTGTAACTCTACATTTTCGTATCTGCCCGGACGCTGCACAGCTTCTAACAACTCTTTTCTTTCAAACAGTTTTCAAATGATAGATAAACTTTGTGAAGAGTATGTTTTATAATGTAGCACTTACAAGCTCATCATCGATAACCCAGATAATCTCGTAATATGTAAAACTGTGACATATTTTGATTATACATCAGGAATGTCGTATTGAGAACAAGACATATGAGAGTTAACAAAGGTAAAGTAGACAAAATCACAGCAAGTAAGAAGGCACAATCAGATATCATGACTAGTAGAATCTATAAAGATTTGGCCTGTTCAGCAACCTTAAGAACTGGGATCAAAATGGAAAGAAGATGCCCTGTACCACAGTAATCTCACAACCAACTCGATTATGGCTGAAAAGTAGCAGCAAACAACAATAGAATTGAAATCGGGTAGCTCCTAGAAAGCAGAACCCGACTCCTGCACAACCGCGTACAATTTTCCGTATTTAGATTTGGTCAATATTTTCCGTAGATGACGTCATTCAGCGACTCTATTTGGAGTTCGGAACAACTGGACATCGCTCTCAAGCTTTGTGCGTAGAAAGCATAATCTTGTGACACACATCTGCAACTTGCGGGATATGATTAATATTATTTCTCAACAGTAATGAAAAAAAAAAGCTTATAACAAGGGCTGTATGGGATGGAAATATTCTCACCCATATTTTAGTGAATCATGTGGAGATAATCCGATTTTTGCCAAATGAAGCTTCAGATTTCCTTTGAAATGGTCATGGACAGTCTCAAAAAGTGACTGAAAAATTGCAGTCAAATATTTAATCCAGATAATTGACCACTGATGAGATACAGAAGAGACACTTGAGCTTTGATAATAAGAAAAATTACCTTTATTTGTTCATCAGGGATTATGCCAGCTAAGCCATTGTGAAACTTTTGCATTTGCCGGCAGATCTGTTGAAATGATGGCGACGGTATCGATGAGCTCACTTCCCACTAAATCTTAATTCAATAAAAAAAAAACTCTGTGCAATGAATTCGTGCTTACATTGCTAAGACAGTTGGTTGTGTGGTGATCAATTACACTGATCAGCTTGAACTTTATCTCACCGATGTGATCGGAGTAGTCCGTTAGAGCCTAAGAACAGTTTGTAGGTTTGTAGGTCACAAAATAATCATTAGAGAGGGTCGGAAGAAACCTGTCTGAAATGTCGCATGAGGTGTTTTTGGTCTTCCTTTAGTGATGCTTCGGCCTCATTAGCTACCAATGGTACAAAGTGAACGATGAGTTGTAGAGAACGTGATGCAAGCGCTGCAAATCGTATTTTACTAGGAGTCGCTATAAAGAAAAGTGTATCATAAACACTTGAAAATAACAGCTCCGTATGTTTTATGACATCATTAAAGGCAGTGCGTCGGCAGAATGAGACCCGTGGCAAAAGAAGGTCACAGGGTAGGAGCCCCCGTAATGGAACCTATGGGCCAAAGTTCGGTCTTTCTCTGCCACTTCTAACCCCCGAAATTTCAAAGCGAAAGAAGGGCTCATCTCCTGTCCTCTCCGAACCCGCCCACGCCATGGACGAGTGACTTCCACGGTCAGAGCGCCAGCCGCAATGCTATAAGCATGAGGTCCCGCAACGACTCTGCGTCTTCGCCATGACGGGCTCCGCGTTCACTCATCCATGTGGTGGGCGGGTTCGTAGAGGACAGGAGATGAGCCCTTCTTTCGCTTTGAAATTTCGGGGGTTAGGAGTGGCAGAGAAAGATCGAACTTTGGCCCATAGGTTCCATTATGGGGGCTCCTACCCTGTGGCCTTGTTTTGCCACGGGTCTCATTCTGCCGACGCACTGCCTTTAACAGCTTCATAATGAGAAAGCCACTGACCTGTATACTAGTGACAGGTCAAAGTGACTTATCAACTACCTTTGATTCAACTGGCTTGGCGGCTGCTAGGTAATGATCAGAGCGCGCGCGGGGGAGAGACGCAGACTGCGTAGCGGGCGCGAGCGGCCTCAATTAGTTCACAAAGCCCCGCCTTGTAGCCGCCAAGCCAGTTGAATCAGAGGTTACTAAGCTTCACATTCCATTATTGTTTGTATTCTCTTGTCTCAAGGTCTCTGGTGATACACTAAAACCACACTAAAATGTTGGCCGATCTGTATTATAGTACAAAGCATAACAGGGATCGGATCGCTCTTCATTGTTAGGTTACTGTAGAAAATTCAGCAAATCAGTGCTTGTGAACCACTTGCCACAAAAACCTCAAAAACCAAAAAATTGTGAAATGAGGTTGTCAAACAGGATTTCAACAATGATCTTTGTACAGCTCTATAAAGTTTCCAAATCAAATACATGAGAAAAACCGAACCGGAAAAACTGCTGCTATTACAGTGTGCCTGGCATGATTTTGAAAAAGAGATTATGGTAATGCGTGACATTCACATACGGAATCGGCAAGCGCTATTGAGTCATAAATTTCAGGTTTTCGTATTTTTCTAAGACGTGGTCCTATAGCTTGAAGTACTTTCTAAAATTTCCACCGCATCAACATCATTGCAGATATTTAGTGGATTGCTTCACGAATTTTAGTCAAGAAAGCCCTTCGAAACATCACGACAGACATCGAAGTGAGAGAGATATCAGATCAAAAATAGTATAAGTTACTTATTAGGATAAAAAAGTCTATATGAAGTAAAAAGACTGGCAAGTCCACTTTGCAATTCACATCACCCCTCAAAACGTGTTACAAAACAAATCTGCGCTAATTTACCTAAATTTCGAACAGAAATTGTCTTCAGTCCGACCAGTTGCAGAGCACCCGCTCCCAAAATTAGCTGACAACTTCGACTGCAATAAAAAAAACATCAGCGAGTTCCATTTCAGATCCAGTTCCGATGATGGTGTACCTATTGAACCCTTTCAGAAGTTCAACGACTCGTGAGAGAATATCGGCCGCAAACGTTGGAAGAGCCGCAAAACATTCACAGTAGTCGGCGAGGATTTTAAGAAAAACCAGTGCGGAGCTAAAATCACCAATTATGGAGCGTATTCCAAAAAATAAATCAACATTGACGTACCCAACGACGACATAGGGAACACCTTCGACCATGAGCGCATCACCGCCCACAGCTTGTTCAGAAGTGGGCTTCACATTTCTGAGCCGCAATGTTCGAACGCATTCGTCCACAAGGAATTGGTACTCAGATGACACTTCTGCTGCCTTCCAAACTTCAGCGTCCAGCGTCGAACTAAATAATTACATACAACTTGATCGGGACAAAATGCTCATAGCACAAGACACGACTGCTTTTTCGATCAAAAAAAAATTGTGACACGCACCTCATTTTGGCCCTGCGTTGATTATGGAAACGTTCTATATACTCCAAGCACAATCGTTGAAGACATTTGGACAGCGGACTTACGGCGATAGGCTAAAAATGAATAGAAACTAACAGCAAAAAAATGCAAACAGGAGATATCCACTTCTGTCTTATGCCACCCCTGCTCAGAACATTCTTGTTGATACTGTTTGACTAAGGAGATCATTTGCGTCAGTTGTTCAGGCGTTGTGAGGTCTTGAGCGCCTTCTTGAAGCTGTAAAAGAAACTCGATATCATGTAACAACAACATAATGAACACAGCTGTTTTCACACCTCAATATAGCTGTAAAAAATAAAAAGTAATATTTTCCAGTATTAGTACATACGAAAGTGCAAAGAATAGAACCGTAGTAAGAAGTATAGGTTGGTTGAGAAAGATTTTCGGCACTGACAAGGGAAGTACTTTCAATGGCCATGGCCTTTTGATATGAGATGCATACCATTTGAAGCGCTTCGAACGCTGATTCCAATTCTGCTTTCCTTTTCTGCGGAGCGCTCTTTTGAAGAGAGTTATGGAAGCCTGAATATCCTGTTTTGAAGCGCTCCTTAAGTTTGAGAACGCTGTTACGTGCGTTGGTGGTGCAGTGATGTAATTTTTAGTTGTTTGCATTAAAGGCGAAAGGTCGATGGTTCGAATCCAGTTTGAATGAATTCGTTTGAAAGGTTTTGAATTCACTTGAAACGCCACTCCAATATTGTTCCCTTAGTGACTTCATGGGCACTTGCGAGCATGAGAATTACGCGGTTTTCTTCATACGCTGTTCTCGTTTTGAAAAATGTCTGTGCTTTGCTCACTTTGTAATTTCGCTTCACTGTACATGAATTTTTTTGCGGAGAAAACCAAATCTCAACAAGCAAGCGGTTCTGCGAGCAAAATTTTTTTCCCTAAGTCACATTTGCCAAGGGCATTACAGTAAGTGTCTGCAGACGAATTACAGTGGTTTCTGAACTCACATTCAAATTGCAAAATGGTTCGCTTACCGGATTCGAACTCCCGACCTTTTGCCTTCAATGCCAACAACTAATCATTACACCACTGCACCACCAACGCACATAGCAGCGCTCTCTAACTTAAGGATCGCCCCCAAAATAGGATTTTCAGGCTTTCATAAGTCTCTTCGGAACATCCGCAGAAAGGAAAAGGATTTAGAATCAGCGTTCGCTGCTTCAGATGATATGCATCTCATATCAAAAGGCCACGGCCATTGAAAGTACCTTCCTCGTGAGATGAAAATGCAACAAACGAATAGCTGTATGGTAATAGCATCCACAATACAACTCGAGCAAAATCACGATGCACACTCTTTGAAAGAAGTTTCAATAACCCAAATTCTCTCTAAATAGTAAAATTTTCAGTTAACAGTACCAGATTTTTTTGGGAAGTTTCGTGAATTCAAGTAAAAGAGAAGATAATTCTAGCTAATCTGAGTTTGGGTGCAGGTTTGCTCAAAGGAATTTAGCAACAGAAATCTGCCCAATTCTATTGAGGTAATATAATGTAATTCTGAAACTCACTCACCTTTGAACGAGCTATAAGTAGACGACACAATCGTGTTTGTGCGCAATGATGAGCAAATTCAGCCAAAAGCGAGGCGGATTTCAGAAGCTGAGGCACTGATCGAATCTCGACTGCTAGCAGGGCTGCCGGATCATTCGACAGTAGAAATTCAGGAGTCTGAGGTTCTCCGGATCCTGCTTGCAAAGGCTCCTGAAGACATGCAGAAAAAATTCAAGTTTTTTATTAGCGGAATTTCCATACATCCTGTTCACTCGACGATAAGTCCAGCACGGCATGACCTTGCACAGAATCATCGGTCACAACAGGTGAATTAACATGCTTGATGTTAGAATGATTCCGTATCCGTTCTGCACATTCACACACAACATCTTGTAAAGCCTGAAAAGACTGAGCTACTTTCCATCTAAAATGTGGTCAAATTAGAAAAAAAAATCCAGCAGCACAACTATATGGGGCCCTTGATTTGAAAGTTAATAAAGTCCCATACCTGGATTCGTTTGCAGAAATTGAAGAACTCTCGCGTAACATCATCAACGGTCTTCAGCCAATCCTCATATACGAGTCGACGTACTGGCTCTCCAAGTTGGCTGCAATTACCACATGAATACAATGAACTGGAAAAGGCCCTGAAAAAAAGAAAAAAGAAGTTGCGCTTATTTACGCAGAGCAGATGGCAACGAGGATGTTTGTCTGAACTATCTATGTTCACGGTTCAGCTTTGCTAGTGGTGAGCGGTAAATGCACAATATGCAACTAAGACTTCGGTTATCAAATCAAATTTCGTAATTTCCTATTTCTACAGGCTGGCTGATAGTAGACTGTGGACTGTAGAGAGAGGAAATTAAGGAGGTTAACAGCCAGCCTCAAGAAACAAATAGGGTAAATATTTACAAGGAAAGACCATATAATAACAAAGAAGCAGATTGATCTGAGTTCGTACTTGGGTAGAACTTAGCATAATTGATGAACTCACTTTAGTGTAGGGTCAAAATCAGTGAGATCAATGCCACTTTGAACTATATGCAATTTGACTTCATGTCGTAGTATGCCTTTCAGTGCTTCCAGTATCTCTGTTCTGATCATGGACATAAATCCAAAACGTCGAACTTGTATAAGGCCCATTATTACACACGATAACTCTCCCTGAATGAATTATGCACATAAAACTCAATGCCAAAAAATTTGCCCATACATCGTAGGTCATCAAAACTCCATCTTCGGGCTTCGTCCCGAACTCTTTCTGGATTATAGTCGCAAAATCGTCCAGCATCATGCGACCAATCACTCCGTACATTTCTGTCAGTTGTGATCCGAGATGCCTAAATATGGCGAGATCAAAGAGTAGCACGAGGTCAGAAGCAACGCTACCTAAAGCACTGAACTCCGCTCAGTTCCGAGCTCAGGACGTCTTCGCTGGTCTCTATGCACTCAATGACCTTCGGGTAATCGCTCTGATTCAACAACATTTGCACAGTGGTTTGAGCTTCACGCAGACAGGCTACATCCTAAATTCAAAGATTGAAAAGAATTTTGGAAGACCATCAAGTAAATGTGTAACTTTGTAAAAAAAAATTCTGCAACGCCTTCGCGCCTCTTGCCCTTAAGAGTCTAACATAATACAAGCTAATCCTCAAGGTATGCTGTAATGAGCTCCAACAAACCGATAAGATAATGCAAAATCAGCGCGATAAATCAGCACAGAATTCCTAACAAGAAAACTGTCAACTTAGTAGATTAGAAGATAGACAAAAAATAAACGTATGATATAGCCAACTGAGAAAATCAAACTCACGAAAAGTTTAGCCAGAAGTTTTTGCTTTTTCTCTCGTTTCTCGTACAGCTGAATAATTTTCCGCGTTCTGTCGCAGACAAGGCGAGAGACAGCTTGCAAATTCGACCTAAATTCCGGTTTTCTTAACGAAAAATTACCGATAACATCAAGAAAGTACATACCGAACTCTTCTAATATCCGACATTGCATCGGATAGCTCCTCGTGCAATCCGCCGTAGCTGTGGACCATTTGCCAAAACGCAGCTGACTTGGCTACCAAACGTGTAGCTAACCGCGAATCGACCACATCATGGAAGGATTCTAATCGTGAACTTAAAGACATGTAGTCCCGAAAGGATCCAGGTGGCTAAATTAGAACTCTTCAAAACTGCCAAACATAAGAAGCCAGTGTGTTTGTTTCACCTTCTTTCCATCGGTATCATCAGGGGCGCACGGGACCACCGTCTTTCCACTCCGAGTCACGGTCAACGGATCTGGCACACCTTTCTGTGGCACAGTGAAGATGTCGACAAACGTTCTGGCGTCTGACAAATGGAACAGCGGATCCATAAGAACCTAGAATGGCAATAAACACTCGAGCTTGGTCACCGCTAATATTTTAGTCGGTCAGTCAGCTTTTTCTTCGAGCACTTTTCGAGCATTACATCACTGCGACTACGCAAATGGTGGCCTCCACCCTCACCTCTCGAGACAACAACAGCTGTACTCAGGCGAACACAACCGAACAGTGTTCGATGCAAGTGTCGTCGCCGAAGGCTTTACGATTTACTAAACTACTCGATGCGACTAGAAAAGGCCGGCAGATCTATGGCCAGCGCGAACGGACCAATGTCTACCACTTTGATGTCAATTCTCGCTACTGGTGAGTACATTTTTCTACATATACTCCATTAATATAACGCGGAAATTCTATTCCAAATTTTACTCTTGCGCTTGAAGATATAGACATCGCATGTAGCAACATTCTTCACGATTGGTACCAAATGAGACCACTTGCAGTTCGTTTTAATCTAACCCAACCCACAAATCATTGCTCTTTATCTTCCCAACGCAGTTTGAGCGCTAAAATCTGAATGGACGACTTCACTTCACTTCCTTCACTCAAGCTTAGTTCTAATTTCTCTGTCATCATCCAGCTTTCTGCATTGCTTACAGAGTAAGCTAGCAGTGATAATTTTGTTTTTACTCCTCATCTGGAAATGATTTATAAAATTTATTCTCACTTCCCATTGATTACATTGCATGTGAGAGCAAAGAGTCATGCAAATTTGTTGCAAATTCGACTTTTCGTCCAAAAAACTCAATTTTAGAAATTGAAAACTAATGAATTTCGTTTAGTACACACTAACCGACTCATCCAAGTTGCTGTTTTCACAGTTCTGGACTGCTTACTCTCAGTAAATCTTCGATTATTCCCGATCCTTGAATGTCAATCTATAGATAAGAGTGACAATCACTGAGATGCGGTGACAGTTGCGGCAAACAATAATAAGAAAATTAGCGCGATGAACAGTTGCTCTGACGCTTTTGAAGCTATAGAACCACTGAGAAGTGCACACAATACAGTCAAAAAGCATAAAGGATGACGCAAAAGATCAAAATTTTTCGCAAATTTTTTTGGGAAACGTTGCGGTCAGGCCAATTTTTGGTTGAATCAAAATCATTTCGTTGGTAATATTTTTCATTTGAATCAAAGCCATTTTCATAGCCTCATAACCTCAACTTTTCCCAAACTGTAGATAAAGATGGTCTAAAATGAAGTGCCCTCATTAAATGCTTCATCCATAATTTCATTTTCCAACGGCGACTAGACGTCATACTGCAGTTGATTTGAAATTTATAATTTGAATATAATTGAAGGGCAGAAAGGAACCGGCCATACTGTTCCAGGAGGTGATTCCTGCGAGTCCTGCATTCCTGCAATTCTTGTGATTCTTCGATTTCCGATGTGCCGCACTACGAAGCGCTTTGCAAATTTCAGTATACATTGTTTTTCGCAATATACATTGTTAAGGGACCCTCAGCCATTACATGAATCGCAGGAACTGCAGGAATCACACAAATAGTATGCCCGGTCCCAAGGGCTTTTACCGTACCCATCAAAATCTCTCCATCTGCCCCCGTGCTACCGTCTCCTCCCGCTTCGCATTAACAGAAACTGATCAAATTTCAAAATAAGATATCTATTCTAGGCCTTGCAAAAGCACTTTATACCACAATTTCACAATCTACACTGTATTAGCGCGTAATTTCGCTTTTGCGCTACATAATCCAAACTTTGCTCGTGATGGTCATCATTGTGTAATACTAAAGGGGACAATGGTTCAGCGGCCGAGAACAAGTTCCTTGGCTGTTACAACACATCGCCTGCCGCAATCATTTAGTTCGTCGCAGTTGCGGTAACAATGCAAGTCACAATGCTACAATGTCATCCTTCTCACAAGGAAAGGCCGCTTGGTCGAAGACGATTTGGAAGACGATGTATATGAACATACAGCTTAAAATGGATACAGCTTAAAACGCTCATCTCAGACATACCCTTTTATAGCGAAGCGTTCTTCTGAAAAAAATCAAGAAATATTCTTATGCCAAATTTTCGTGATTGAGTCACAAAATCACGGTCATTCCCGGGCCAAAGTAAGCTCAAGCAAACCACCTAATAAGCATTTTAGGTGTAATTAATATCAGCTGAATGCTTCGAGTTTTTCCAACCATGCTGTTATCCACAGGTCGTCATTTTCTTTCTATTCCACACTTTCCTTATAAACACAAAAAGCCCTAACTTATAGAAAAACGCTCCGCAGATATAGAAAGTATATTTGGTATCAGCCTATCCATTGTTACACATCACCCTCCGATTTTCGCCATTTCGGTCAAGCGGCCTTTCCTTGTTAGAATTCATTAGGAAGAAACAGAAAGCTAACAATGGTGTCAGTACAGTTTTACAAAAGTACTACGCAAATTTTCAGAAGTAATGCAAGATTTTACCACTTTTTACTTTCCTGGTGCAAAATGTTCTCTAATGAGCCACATCCATATATACAAGCTGATGGCGACGTGCAAACAAATTTTCTTTCGCATTTATGTAAATGTCATAATTAGGAAATGTGACTACAAAATGCATTGATTTTCAACGAATCAAGAAGGATCGAAGAAACTGACAATTTCCAAGAACTCACTTTCAACCCTTTCACTTCATCCATTTTACTTGATTGGTATCTTTGATAGAAGAAAGTAAAACGAACAGCAAAGAGAAAGAAAGATTTTTGTAAGCTAATTACTCTCACTAATATAGAAAAAAAATTAGGAAGTGAGGAAGCCAACAAACCAAAGTTAACTTTTCTGATCCAGTACAAAAAAACCCATACCTGCGGCAAATCATCTGAATCGCCCTCTCCACATGTAGATGGTTGTTGCAGAGCAGCCAACGCTCGTTTTGTTGCATGGTACCTCTTGTAGACCTTAACCGGATTCTGGTCATTGAACATTTTGAGAAATATTTTTGCCACTCGAGATCGCAATTTCCCACCTTGCTCGTGTTTTTCTGATGCGCAATAAATTGCTGATCCGAAATGGGTGGAATGAGGGTCGATCGAGGTATACTGTGAGGAGGCACGAATGAATCGCCCCAGTGTCTCGTGAAGAAGGTGTTCACTTCAGAGCGAGAACGCCCTGGATCGGAGAGCACAGCAGATAAATTCTGCGTGAAGCTGAATAGATAGGGATTGAGTAATCGTTTGCGCTTCTGTCGACAACCCATTGGGTACGCGAAGCTGATGCAGTGGTCGACTAACCCTCAAAAGCGTTCGAGGGAAAACTTTGCATACTGACAGAGTAATAGAACAAGTTTGAATAGGTATAATTGTTGGGCGAATGTTCTTGGCACGTGAAGCGAAAAAAAAAGGATTGCAGTTCGGCAAACAAACTTTGCTGCATAAACCGTGCAAACAAATGCCAGGGTTGTCGAAATATTAGGTCATCCCAAAAGTTTTTTCATATTTGTACCTTCAAAATGATATTTCTCTAAAACTAAGGCATCTAGAAGGGTGCAAATTTGTGGGAGTATTCTTGAGTAAATAAGCTATATAATGACACATTTGCGAATTACATAGACTCATTACAGTCAAAGTTTAAAAATTAAACGCTTTATTTTTTTTCTCGATTTCTAGCCGTCATAAAAATGCAGCAGGCGTATATATAAATGTCTGGTGGGGAAAATGTATGCGTGAGCAAGTGGGGACTTTGCAGAATGTTTTTGAACTAAGATACGATTTTTTTTGTTTTTTCGGAATTTTGGATTTTTTTCCATTTTATCTTAGAATTCGATGCGGATCAAGCCTGGTACGAACTTTAGAGAGCCATATTGTAGAGCTTGCTTTACTCTTTCGAATGGTACTCCGCTTTTCATCAGAAGTCTAAGAAGAGCAGACTTATGCTGGTGAAAAGTCTGATATGAAAAAACTTTTGTGGTGACCTTAGTTGTGCTTATTCAAGCAGCGTCAATGATGAACTGATAATTCATATCGATGTCAGAAAGCCATATTACGTGAGATAGGTGAATTTACGCCAAAGACTCATTCACGCATATTTTACCAGTGCTTTCACCCAAATAGCAAACATGCAATCGAACAAATTTGATGTGGTTCTCAGATCCCACGCATTTTGTTAATTCATCGTAAAAGAGACAAGGGAACATAATATTTTGAACTGCAAGAAGTGAAGAGACGACAATAAGGCAAAAATATAATAACTCTCATCCACTTTAAATTGTGATGGAGTGATGACGGCCTTCTTCGGAGATGCATGACATGGCTTAATTTTTGAGCATCAATCAAAATACTTTGGAGACGAAAAAGATTCAAAAGCATAGAGTATATGACTTTGGGGAGAAGCAATGTGCAATTTTAGCTACTGCTATGAGGAGGAATAGCGTTTTGTAGAACTCAGACGGGAATGGAAAGTGAATCACTGAGCGAAAAGGAGACTTCAAGCTGAAGAGAGGCAAAGGCGTGTGTCACTTGAGTTCATCAAAAAGTAAGGAAAAGGGTGTGTAAAGATTTGTTCTCGCTTCTAGGCTCAGCCATTTCTTGATGTGGTCGTTTGAAAATTTCAAAAGGCAGACACCCTCTTATCTAATCAGAACAGAAAAGAATCTTATAAGACACCAGCTCTCAGATTACCTCAAGCAAAAGCAACTTTGTACAGCCTGCCGTGTGTGGGGCGTCATATAGGGGTTTCCCTCTTAGAAAATGAGAAATCATTAAAACCAATGACTGCTGATGAAACAGAGCAGAGGGAGGTCCACCCTTTACAGTCAAGGCTGAACTGTCTCACATGCAGTCCACCTTCTCCCACTTGAGAGACAACGCATAGGCGCACCCGGACGAGTCGAACGAGAATCGTTACGGTATGGCGCAGCGTACTGCCAGGTGAGCCAGCTATTCATCACCTTAAATCACTTCCTTCAACATGACAGTATTTTTTCTGGTATCGCTGTTTTTGTCCATTTCACAATTTAGTTCACTTTATCATTGTCGCTTTTTTTCTCAATAAAGTACCCTGTCCATGTCTCTTCCTCTGTCATTAAGACTTTATGACCCAGTAACTAGATTACAACTTTAACGTGCGCCTCCCTTACCTCTAGCCCTGCATCACTCGAGTATATACGCCCAGTCTAAAAAACAGACCTTCCGCTAAGTGTTTGCGGTCGTCAACAGGTCTTCTCTACGTTGTCTGTGCGGCATTGCTGATTACCGATTCAACTATGGAAAATGGCGACATTTCGCATGACCCCCACAAAACCACTCAAGAGCAAATCGTTCAGCGCTCGCTCACTAAGACTCTTCTTGCACGTCTCAATAGTAAAAAAAAACTCCCACGATCCCTCTTTCCCAAATTTTTACACTGTGGCCGAAAGAAACTAGAAATTGCATTGTAGCATACCAGATTTGAAGAATGTAAGAAGTTGGAAAAAATCTGTGGAAGTCTCTGTAATAGAATGCTCATTTCCTTCTCCTCATAGCATTAAATGGAACATAAACCTCGAATAAAAGAATCTAAAATCTGAGATGCTCGAAGAACCGCTTTATGCTGATTGAAAAAAGCCGAAAAAATATAAGTTTTAGCATTTATAGCAACCAAATTGCAACTCGATAACTAATTTCGCGCATGATATCTTCATATTAATTATATAATACTAAGCGGATTCATCGAACCCTTAGCGATTTACGGATCAAAGTTCCAACTTATTATTTTTTTTAATTTTCAGGATGGGTAAGGTGGCTGATTATGGTAGTCCTCCAAAAACGAAGATGAGCCAAATCAACTCATGTCGGGAAGCGATGTTTGGCGAACGAGCGCGGAAATGGGCATTCTTCTTCATTGTCGGATTTTTGGCATGTTTGACAATCAAGGATGTTGTTGACTTGGTAATTTCTCACTCAAATATTCTTACTTATCAAATCAATCGGATATATACATGAAAAAGCAATTTTGACAAGTTCCATGTAAGGTATTGTGATATGATTCAATTCTCGTAATCAGACAGAAATGCCTGGTTAAAAAGAACACGATTTTCACTTAAACAGACACCTACATATCAGTCTAACTGCAATTTCGAAAAAAGTTTATCTTCGCATGTCCTTCCCACCAACATATGGGAGAATTGTAGGAAGTATCATAATTAAAAATTCCTTCCAAAATTTTCTAGTTCTAGTTTCAATGATTCTCTGGTTCCCTCCATAGTTTCGCGAATAGCACTCAAAGAGCATATGAGAGGAGAAAATTTTCAACAACCTAAAAAGCTAAATTGATTCGTTCAATGAATAAGGTTCTTATCAAGATTATTCATTGTATATGAAAGTAAACATTAAATTTTTTCTTACTTCTGCGAGATTGGAAGGGATCATCAAAAGGAGTTGACTGACGATAAAATTATACCCATTATTTGAGAACGGAGATTATTCTGCACTTCGACCATTTGAATGCTGAATAGCCGAGAAATTTGACAGCCATTTTTCCATGTCTCTATCCAACAGTTCCAAACGGAACTCAAGTTTATTGGGTGCTAAAGGAGACCGATAAAACTATTTCACCATCGTATTTATATCAGCGCTCTCCCATTACATTACAACACTCTTTCGCAGTGTAGCATTTTCGTAACAATTTAGAACGCATTGATAAAGTCTGATTTTCACCACTAGCACTCCAGAAATTAAAAGTGTTGGCCTTAAAGAGTATAAAAAGAGCATGAAGAGTTGGTTCTGACAGCACTGACATTTTCATTTGCAGGTAATGGAATACTGCGATAATCCGAAGGACTCAGATATGAACATCGTATTCAACGATTCGATGACTATGCCAAACATCACATTTTGCATGTCGAAAGAACAAGCATGGAGTCATTTCAAACTCAACACTAGTGCATCGACGGACGAATGGGATACAATAGTAGAGGTGAGAAACATCACTAATGTCAAACAGTTTTTTTTTGAATCAAAAAATCACTTAGCCTTAGCATTGCAGATACAGATTGAAAGGCTAAAGTTGAACTGTTTGAGAAAATGAAATTTCGATTCAAATATCCGAAAAGATTTGGATGAAAAGCTTTTTCGACAGAGAAACACATTTCTCAATTTAATAAACTATAATTATGCAGTTTGGTGGAATGCTGCGCATTAAATTGTCTCTCCATTTAGAATCGTAATTCTTGAACTATATTTAGAGTCATTGTAGATACAGACCAAAAGTCAAAATCTGCAACTTTCATAGCTTCCACTTCCCCTACAAAACTATAATTTTGCTTACAATCATCTCCCATCTTCCCTTCTCATTGACTATGCAATATGCCAATATTTAAATCCAATGTTCAATCTGACAACGCTATTCTCACAATGTAAATGATACATGGAAGATGCTTCATTTGCAGGAAGGGTTTGCGAATATGACCGATCATGACAGCTTTATGAAAGCCATGTGGGACTACCGCTTAGTGATGGAGGCTTACGATATGATCGCTACCTACAATAGTCTGGAAAGGGAAACAACGGCACATGGTTCAGCACGATCTATCAATATTTTCCGAGTCTCACCGCGATTAGCTGGGAAGCGGAAAACTTTCAAGGTCAGTTCTGTTCAGCTGAAAATCATACTTACGAACTCTTTCGTAAACTTTCAAGATCTAGAGACCACAATTATTCTGCATTACATGCTTCGCCAGTAATACTTTTTGTACCACTCAAGATTTTCCTGGGCACATCAAATTGACTTGAATCTAATGCGGAATGATACGCCTTATTTTTTTTTTTTGTTGAAAGGAACGAGTTTTCGTTAGATTTGATTGTTTTCCATCCCACAATTCCCGCATGGGTGTAACAAGTATGTATCTCAAATAGAAAACATGCGAATTTGTCGAAGTCATAACTCAGACTGTAGCATTTGCAGAAATGGATGGAAGTACTAGATTCGCGGAATGTTACATTTGAAGAATTTACACAAAAGACTGGAACGGAAGTACTGCGACGGTCTATGCAACGATTTCAACGAACCACCCGAAACGAAGATTTGGTGATCAAGACCAAACTAAGAACATCCTGGATCTCACAAATGCAGCTCTGCTTTCAACCACTGTTCGATACCGATAATTTCTACGATATTGAAGATCAGGTCAGTTCGACTAGATTCAGTCCCGTCACAAATCGAATTAGGTTTTTGACAACTGTCGATTCTCTTTGCATCATTCAAAGAAGCGCTGCATTAGTACGGTGATTTTTGAGAAAAAATGACCTCACCCATGACCACTTTACCTGGAAGACGACAAGACATAAGGCACAACCATTTTGACCTAGCAAATCAGTTTTCATGCTGCAAGCCCATGAAATGAAGGTGTAACTGCTGAAAATTTTGCTAAACACTCAACGCAACTCACTGTGACGGGCAAAATTAGTGATAGGATAAGACGATCAAAGAAAGGAAATGGAAGAGGATAAAAAACAGCACGAAGTGAAATCAATTTGATGTGACTATTCCGTTCGTCAAATGTTTTGTAGCGGCAGCAGAATAGTCCGACTGAATTCGTTACACAACCGAATGCACTAGATTTGTATGAATAAAATAAAAGTAATTACAGGGCAACTTCTTCACTATGCTCTTATCACACAATGCCGAAAATCTCGAAGGCGAACATACCGAATGTATGAGTGTAGACTTCCACGGACGTCCCTCATCACTCAATCGCTTTATGGAAGGTAAAGGAAGAGCGAGAGATGGATTCACATTTGAGGTCAGAAAATTATCAAAGCTGCCTGTTTACGTGAAATATAAAGCTAACCCACAAACTAATTCTCGAAGAACACTAGCAAAGCCTCTTGTTTTTGTGAAATAGTCTTGAGGACCACCAACCGTCTAACGTGCGGATATTTTACATCAATGACAACAAACTTTCAGCTATGCCCTGGTCAACGACATGAGGTTACTGTAGAAGTTCGCGCGCACTACCAGATGCTGGAAAATGATGAACCAGGAAAAGCCTGTCGTGATGTGGAAGATAATGAGGATAGCGAATTCGATTGTAGATCTCGGTGCCGCATGGAAATGATTCGAGTTAGTTCATTTATTTTCCAAGCTGGATACTAAGTCTATCCTTCTGACGATTCCACTGTGTTGAGACCTTTTCAATAGTTGATATGACTGCTTTATCCCCCAAATTCTTTCGCGCGTTGAAAGAGATAGTTTCAAAGTCTAAAGACTTGATATGAAAAACCAACACAGACGAGTCACATGCCAAAAAGGGTAAAATCAAGGAACACCTCATTTGTTCTGGGAACTGTTCGCACTTTGCCACCTCGTAGCAGAAGTTGGGTCATAGAAAACAGAGATATGGGATAAACACAAAAAAAAAATGAATTTCTTGCTGTCTTCATGTAGAGATTAATAGCACCTACGCAAAATGATTTCAGTGATAATCTACCATGAACATGTTCTACTTTATGGTACACAGATCCACATAGATATAGATTATAGATTGTATTCGAGGATAAGTACTTGAATTAAAGATTAGGAGAGCGTAACATGTAAACCTAATTTATAGGGGAGAAAAAAATGGACATCTGTTTTTTTTAAGGTTATTCTTCTTACTAAACCTTTGGTATTTAATCGTGGAAGGAAGTTCCAAATTAACTTACCATCTGCTTTGAATTCTTGTGAGCAGAGTAACTTCAACTTTTGTATTTGTCTAACGTAAGACCTGGCTGGAATTTCACATAATTCTTAACTCGCGTTCATGAACTGATTTTGCAGTTTCTTTCAGGACATGTGCAAATGCACAGCATTATCGCTCAGCTACTTGGCGAAAGATGATCTGGACAAATTTCCACTTTGTGACTACACAAATTGCGAAGTCGAGTGAGTGATAGGCGTTCTCAGTCGATTGCAGATATACTAAAGAGGTTCGTATACCACTGAGACATTTTTAGTGTCCAAAAGGGTAACTACTCCGATAGCGAATGCACAAGTCGTTGCTTCCGTGATTGTAAACAGATCCGATATGAGATCGATCATGAAAATCAAGGAAGAATGCTTCGACCGGGTGAGTGAGCTCACATTGGCACTCAAGTTTTTTTGCAAACACCAAAAGGTTAAGATATGATTGTAGGGTTTTACGAATAAAAACGATGTCTTTGTGATTGACACTTACTCAAAAAAACAAAAGATAATGTCAAAATTGTTGCAGAACTCACAGCACCATGAAAGTGATTTGCAGAAATCATGTGGATATTTCTAGATTTAACGCTAATAAATTTAAACTGGGGATCGTTCGAATACCTCTCCATGGAACAACAATGGAAGTACTCGATAACAGCATTCATAGCCGCACTTGGAGGATCAATCGGGATGTGGCTGGGACTAAGTATTCTATCTCTTATACAGGTAAGCAAACGAGCTTTCACTCGTGACCACACAAGGCACATCAATATTTCAGGGAGGAACATATCTATACTCATACTTTGCGAAGAAAGTTGTGAAAGAGAAGTTGCTGAAAAAGATTTCGCAGCAGCATAATGGAAGAGGAAGTAGGGTGAGCAACCATTACCACTATTATATGCATACGTGCTGGATATGATTTGCACAGCTTGGAGTATTCTGCATAACAGTGCAGATTGTCACCCTCAACTGCGAAGCGAAAGCTGAATTTCGGGATTCTCCAATAATCAAGCCCCTTATAATCTCTTCTGATTGAAGCACTAACAATTTCTGTAATACAACTGCTGCTCTAATCACTCATCCCACAGCTTCTGATTTCTGCTATCGCTTATTTCAGCTTTCCGACGTCGATGTGCCTCGAAAGAAGCTATCACTCGCCGCTAACCCCTTCGAAAATCCATTCCATGCACCATCACCCAGCCCGAGTTACGAGCTCAACGTAAGCAGCCTACGTTTACTTGAATAACAGAAGGATCTATTACAGAGGCAAAAAAGAACAGCCAATGGATGTTCAAGAAAAAGACTATCTTTCAGAATCTTTTTGAAACGAAAAAAGGGTCGAGGATTCGATTGAGAGGCTAGAGAAACCGGCAAGCAGCAGCAGAAAAAGCAAGATGATACCAGTGTATGAAAAAAAATCATAGCGTGAGAACCAAATATGGAGACAAGCGCTGATATATCCATTGCATGAAAATTACAAAAAAAAAACCTCAAAACGAGAATAAATCAAGAAGAATGGATAGTTGAGTAAGGAAAGATGGCCAGGGCACTTTCTCGACTACTTTTCAAATTGTGCCAAGAAATAATGAAAACCTCGCATAACGCAAAAAAAAAACTCGCCTTTTCAGGAGGTATCACCACCCGGCTACAGTCGTAGCCCGAATCCGACAAAAATACAGGTGGAGCATTAGCGAACACTACGACTTCAGGAAATCACATGTGTTATGATCTTGCCCAATTGATATCACTTATTTCCTCACGAGATTTGCATAGATACCGGTGAAAATTGTTTTTTACTGATCAATTGTTATTCCAGTCACGGTTGTGGATTCTCTTTACGACTTTTATGCATAAACTTCATACTTTGATCGCTCTACAAAAAATGCTAAACCAACCTTGATAGCGTGAATTCCTTTTCACGCGGATCTTCAATGTTTGTCAGTGAATGATGAAGTGGATCTGAATTTTCATAAAGCGCGAATAGCAAATAAAGTCAAAAGGACAAAATTACCACAGTGAACACGTCGAATATGCGCCTCATAATCTTCATCAGAAACACCTTCCAAGGGTAGCTTTTGGCATACATTATTGTCACCGTATCTATAAAATCAAAATGTAATGAAAATTTGCAACATCCCGTCTCAAGCCAAATGCACCAGCACCTTCGGCCAGATACTGTAGTTGACAACTGATACCTCAGCTTGAGATACGTAGTCCAAAAACACATCGGAAAAAGCAAATCAGTCAACACTGAGGTCAAATTTATGCAACCACGCTAGATGTGATCAAACTGCCGCATTTACCATGAAGAGAGGTAAATATTCAAAAGAATGAAAATAAAAATATATGTTCAAAGGGCACTTTTTGCCAGAACAATTGAAACTAGAACGCAAAGAAGTCAGATGCGATGAAATGCTCAAAATAAAATCCCCATCTCAGTTCCTGATAAAGACTTTGAACAAGAATGGAGGTGCTACTACATCGATCCATACAAAAATGGTCTTTTCATCTGCTTGTTCTTAAACCAACTCCATCGTACTTGATCACATATTGCTATCACATAGTACGAACATAGGAGAAATCCAAGTACATCTTTCAAACGAGAGAGGTGATAGACTAATTAGGGTTTCTTGCCAATCGGGAACTCTAATTAGGCTTTTGACCTGCTTTGGAGTATAAAAAGCCGATTTTTGTACCTTGAAAGCACTGGCCAACCGAAAGGGTGGAACACCCCTCGAGCGAGTGGGTCGCCAAGTTTTTGGAATTTACCTACATGAGTTAGATTGTGCAAGTGATTCTTTTACTGGTAGACAATCAAAATTCTTTCCGTTTTCAAAGCTTCAATTAAGTTTTTTAAAGACTGGCTGCCTCCACGTCTCCTTTTTCGAAAAACTACAAGGTTACAGGATCAGTTGAAATCGAGAAGCATCCCAAGACATATTTTGGAAGGTGCGGTCGACAAAGAGCAAAGAAAATATCGTTTTCGCGGCTCGGAAACAAGTAAAATTAGGTTTTTTTGGTCGACGTTTCATTTGTTTGGGTTTTTAGTGATTTCGGATAAGTCAAGTCAAAGAGGACTTTGTATTATTTTGTGAAATCGGGGGACTTCGTCTTTTTTTGCACTTTCGGAAAGCCACCTCCCAAGCCCCGCGTCGACTACGCCCCTCATTCAAAAATTTCCCCCCCCCCTCCCCAGAAGTAAATTCTGCTCCCTCACTGCTTCAGAAGCATGCGATCAACAAGATTAGTGCAGTTGTAAGCCGCTAGGATACATATATAGAATCTACTGGAAAATGTGAAGAGCATGTCACTGCAACAAATATGCAAAGTAATCCATATCGAAACCCAACCTGAATCTTGCTTTCAGCAATAAAGCGAGAATTTGCCGATTATGGTCGCTTTATCGCATTTTCACATGAAATATGATGCGAAATTTCACATATTCAATCGTAGCTGTATAGATTTCTAGCTCCTACGAGAAGAATAGCTTGTAGCAAGATTCGATGGTAGGCACCCACAATATGCACTCAATTACTGTACCAACTAATCTGCAACGATAGATGAATGCGAGAATCTAATTGAATGACTAGCCTAGCTGACCTAGGATGTATGTCATCTCATCATCTAAATTTGAAACAGAGTCGGGCTGGAAGCTGAACGCTGGTATTTGATGGCTGTTTTTTTTTTTGAGCGGAATGACATAAAGAGTAAAAGTGCGAAAAAATGCTTCAAGAACCGAAAACTACCAGTAAGGTTATTAGCCGACAATATCAGTTTCTGACAAATGACCGCAAAAAAAATAAATTATAGCACCAGTCGAATGCTTCATGACTCGCACTTTTGTGACTCCTTTTTTGCTTCTTTTAAAACACCCCTACATTCTGAAGGGAAACTTGCTTTCATGCTGCGTGAATATCTGGCAACAACGATGGCAAAAATCACGCTAGCGAACATGCACCCCATTAAATTGATTGAAGTTTTCAAGCACGCTTCAGCCTGCGCGCTCATATTTTATAGCATAATATGATCATAGCCAAAAATAAGCCAAAATCAATGCCAGCTCCCCTCTTCTCAGCACAAAAACTGTGCTAATAAGTAAATAAAACATATATAAGTAAAGATTCCCTTGCCAACTAAGCAAAAGCGCGATGAAAAAAATACAAAGCGCCAATAAATGAGATACCAACCGACAAATGTACGAGCCTCCCTCTTTTTTGCAATGAACTACCCGAAGATGTCGTGCGAACTGAGCTTGATCGTGGAACTGCAGCCGTGGAAAACACAATTCGCATTCCCTTAACATGAATAAATTCGGTAAAGCCAACAACGGAGGAGAAATCTACGATTTCGAACCTTGGGTATAATCCGTGATGTAGTTTAGACCCTTTCAAAGGGAAAGCATGTTGTGGCAACACTTCGGCCTCCATCTGGGAAGTTCAAACCTAGACCAAAGTGTAAACATAAACAGGAGCCACCGGTCGTCCACGTCACGCGAGAATTGTGTGATGCCGTAGTGTACGACCAAAGCGCCGTTTCTCACGGCAACTGGTCCTTGCGATGAGAATTCAAAGAGCTTTGCATCACACCGTCATTTTCCAACAAGCATCCACAAAATTTATGATGTGAACATCGGATCCGTGGATTTTTGAGGTCTAATCTAAAACAACAAAATCGATTGTTTGGGAGTGAAACGGCAGTTGTCAGCGCGAAGACCCATGCATTGCATGCCCTTTCAATCACCGTTTTTTTCTGCTTGCGCTCTGTTTGTCATGTGGCTCAGTCCGTTTCTTCCCGTTTCGATCCGGTTGCTGCATTGATTGTTGGCTTTAATAGACTGTGTACAGTGCTCCTATGGTATCAAATACTGAAGATTCTGTAGTCATACAAGAGCAGCCACTCAATCCACACAACGGTGCGTTTCCGGTTTCTTTTTTTCTATGTCTCGTACATGTTGATATGTTTGAACTTTTAAGCGTTTTATAATGTTAATAAGATTATGTGGTGCAAAAATGTCATGAAAAGCGTAGAAACCAGTTTTACATTTCGATTGTAAATGTCCCATTCAGTAATGAGCACTCACCTCGTATCTCTTTACTGCTTGTTAAACTGTTAACGACGTTCGTCTAATGTTTGGACGAATGCTCTTACGTCCACACTCATCTAACTAATACTGAATTTTACTCCTCTGAGAGTACGATATATTTGCTCTTCGTAGACATTACTGCATATGTTTTATTTGTCGCTAATTCGGCGAACTACGATTTTTATTAACTATTTGTCACGGCTGCTTAGTGGCTTAGCCTGCAATCAGCCGTTCAATCACTACCTTTGATTTGTGATCTTTTGACTGTATTGAACCAGTTATGATGCAGTAGAACGATAACAGTGTGCTCGGTATGCTTTGCTCTGGTGTTGGCGCTGTCGTGAATAAGTATGGATCGAATGGGAGTCCTCTCTTTTTTTTCTTCTTTAAACAGCGTTGTCGAAATGATTCTTAAAAGTGATAAAAATATTTTTTGAAATCCAGCGTATCTTTGCTATCGCCGCATTCTTCCGAAAGTGTTGAACTAGACTCTGTACCTTTTGTGAGAGGGACAAGTAGTCCATCATATGACGAGAGAGAAAAACACAGAACTTCCCTTCTTTTCTCACTCAGTCTATTTTGCAGGTCATCCTTCATTGCAGCCTTTTACTGGAGTGGAGAAACTTGTTAATGAACAAAGTTCGGCCTTCACTAATGGAAACGATGTTTCACAATACACAACGATCGACTTGAAGTCGGATTCGAAAGGTCCTACTAAATTCAACTTTCGTTATGAACTAATTTTTTGCTCTTCACCCGCTTGTTCACCAAGTATCTCCATGTCAAGGATTTAATTCACTTGAAGCTAAAGTTCTGTGCAGCACCTGTCCGCTCATTGGTAATTTAATCTTTCTTGCAGGCTTTGGCTTCAACATTGTTGGTGGAAAAGATAGCCCGCACATTCCTGGGCACAATGGGATTTTTGTCTCGGTTATCAAGCAAGGTGGACCAGCTTACAATGATGGGAGGCTTTCTGTTGGTGATCTTATATTATCTGTAAGTGCTTTTCGCGTGACGTCCCACATAGGTCCATCAAAACAAGTAGAAAATGCGGCTCAGCTTTCTCAAAACGAAATCGCTGTCAGTTTCGTTGAGCGAAAAGTATGTCAATACTTATGACCTTGTTCGATGGTTGACTTTGGAGGAGAGCAGTCTAGACAGCGCGCTGCTCTTATTTGCGCTAAATTGCTCACTTTGCACGCATTTGCACTTTCGCGAGGTACGCTGCAAATACTCTGATGGGGCTATGATAGTGCAAAGAGGTTCAGATCCAGTTCTTTTTCTTTGCATGCTGAAGAGAGTGAATAAGAAAGTCGGAAGGATAGATGTAAGCCTGTTTCGACGTGACCGGTCGATTTTCTGAGTTCGTTTTGGTTACCTGGTACGCTGACCCTGAAATTGCGCGAGAGCGGTAATGGTGAAAACGGGTCTTCATCAAAGCCTCCCCCCCCCCTTTCACCATAATCGGAGACGCAGTCGCTGGACCTATAGCCGTAACGCCCCTTTTTTTTTCATGGACACGAGCACTTGTCTGGTGAAGCTGGTAGAAATTGTGAGTCGCATTGTCGGAAATCCTCGTGTATTCCAATAATAATGGGCGATCATCCATTATTCGGCGAAGATTAGATTTTTAGATAAATGGAATCGATCTGATAAATAAGACACATGACGAAGCGGTAGCAATCTTCCGATCACAAGCGGGGACTGCTGCTCAGCTGGTTGTAGAGGTTGCAGCGGAAAACAGAATTTTGAACGTGAGTTTGAGAAATCTGGCTTTCTTGAGTTGAAAGTCTGATTGTTTAGGAACATTTTCCCGCGGACCCTCACATCTGTGCAGGAAGGTCTCCCTTCTATGACGACAGCCTTCCAAGTCCTGGTTCCATGACTCCTCTCATCCGCTATGGTCAGTATAGTCTTGTAGGCTCTCTAATCTATGTAATCTTCGTTCAGATAAGCAAGAAATGCGACCTCCACCCACACCAATAGCTAGAGAAGAGCCTAGAAGCCGCGAAGAGGACAATGAATCAGTTTCAAGCTGCACACCATCTACACACTCGTATTTGGATGATGTGCCGCGTACACCTAAAAGACCAATGAGCTATTTTGATCCTAGAAAGTAAGTATGGATCTAGATTTGTTAATTTACATAATTCTACCTAGTCTGCACCTTAGTCTACCACCTCACCTTAGACTGTTTAGAAAACATTTGTGGATTGTGAATTCTGTTTGATAATTAAATAGTCATTATCACTGCGTAGTTTTGCTTTGGAGATGTTTTTTTATAGTTTTTTGAGTAACACATCAAAAAAAAAAATAACCGCGCAATGTCGATAACGGATACCCCGCTTCATTGACTTCTGGAATTTGATGTTCTTACAGCACTGGCGCTTTGATATCAGTCTGTTTTCATGACGATTATGGCATAGCAGCATTTGTTATCGCTGTGTACATCCGATTCAACACTTCGTAATCCGACATTATAGTCATCAGTTCATCAACACATCGAATCACTATGATTGAAGTCACAAATTTCCTTCTGCAACTTGTTATTATCGAGATTTCTGATGTGTAGTTCATCTTTTGTTGAGTGGCTTATGATCGTCTCCAGGATTCGTGTAGAGGTGTATTGCAGACTTTGCCTGATAACACAGGTGAACTTGTTAAACCTCCACGTCATAGCATTGTATTTTGTACTCTCTCGCTATCAAAAACCGCCACGCCTTGAGTTGGCAAAACTCCACCTCTGCACGAATCGTGGAGCCGATGATGTCTTATCTGATCATCAATGTTATTAGAAATATTCCAGCCCGTCCATAATCACAGAGGCGCTGTACGTGTCGATTGGTTTGGCAGTCATTTCCTTGGGAGTCTACGTTGGGTATCGATTTATTCGTGGAAGAAGAAAATAGTGACTTTTCAATTGAAGTAATTAGTTATTAGGTGTGATAAAAGCTACGGTAGGAATCAGTTATCGAACGCTTATGTTTCATGTCTCCAAAGAAGTGAAAACTGACCAGATAAAAAATAAATTATTCTGCGAACAATTGTCTTCTTGTTTTCAAGCACAAATGAACCAACATGTTCTTAATTGAAAAATGCATCAGATGGATTCACATCTCTTGCGCTTTTCTCTGATAGGTCTGACAGACTGCCCTCTTTCTTGGCTGCAGCTGCCGCCTTCCTTCTATTTGCAGCTTCCTCTGCTTCTCTTTCGTTTCTGGCTAATGCCCTTGACCAGTAGATTGCTACCGCTTCCAAAAGCAGCGAAGTGAGCAGGACCACTCCCATAGGTATGAAAAAGTACAGCATGTCGCTCCTGAAATGTAGGACTTGTCATTTCATAGGCGCTGATGACTGAAAATTTTGCTGATAGGACAAACTTGCTGATCGATTCTACCTCTTTGCTTTGCAAATTCTTTCTCCGTTATCATAGTGATCATCTTTGACGCTTTCAATACAAACTAGCAGAATGGAAGAAAAAACAGGCTATTCATTGAAATTCATTCTTATGTGGAATGCAATTGCGAGATGGTATTTTAAGCGCATTGAAAAAAAAAAACAATATAGAATTAGTTCAGATAATCAGTGGAGTAATGTATGTTGAGAGCAACGTATCTTTAACGTTTGCTAACTTTTTTGAAAGCCGCGAATAAGTTTTGAATCCTTTCAGTGTACTCACTTCTTTTAGCGCAGTCTCAACAGTCATTCTCACTTCTCATCATCCTGTTATTTTTTTGATTTTTGATAACAAAAGATGGTCAATTTTGATCGTTTGACGAGATCATGAGGGCAAAATTACGTTCACAACTTTCAGTCTATCTTCCTAAGCTAGAATGACCATTTCCGTGGTTCAAGAAGGCTTTCGGGAAATCCCGGTTTTTTCCATGTGACCGTCGCTTTCGTACTTGATTTTGTGAAAGTTTGCATGCCAGATAACCTGAAATTGATTTTGGCCGCTCGTTCTATACTTGCGATGTTATTTTTACTGCAGTAGTACTGTTTTACTGCATCCATGGTCCAGATCTCAATTTCTAAAGTTTCGCATTTTCCTGCAGTCGTGACGTTGGTTATTTGAATATAGCATAGAAAAAATTATGCGCTCTCTACTGATGCTTGAACCAGACACACCCTATTTTCAGAAGTAATGGCGGCTGGAAAGCAAGGCCGCTCGGACCCGCGAAGCAGTATGCGTATCCCTCGCAAGCTGCTCTCTAATCATTCCCCATCCTTGATTAGGCCTCGAGGTCCCACCTTCCCGCCAACCCCGTTGTATCAAAGGTAAATGATGCCATATCACGCTATAGAAACATCCAAAATGTAATTTTCTAAATGTTTTTGAAATGCTAAAAGGTTCTCAAAAGTCTAATTTCTGTCTTGATTATGATCTACCTCCTCTTCTTTGCGAGTATGAGGAATTTATGCAGATTGGTGTACGAAACACACAACAATTCTTTTTTATTTTGATCAGAATCTCAAAAGTCAAGCCAGATGCTATGAGCTTCACGTATCTCATATATAAAGCTGAATGTCTGTTTGTATGTCTGTATGTCTGTATGTATGTTTGTCTGTCTGTACGTATGTTCCGAATAGAAAATTCCATTTCTGAACCGATCCGGACCAAACTTGGCACACATACACTTCGGGCCCCGGCGGGTGTCATAGGCTACTTTTCGTATCGATCGATATCGATTTTATCGATTTTTTGCAAAATTTGAGCTACGGGGATGGGAGTTGGCACAGGGGGGTAAGTGAGCATGCTGAGCACCCCCGTGGGGGTGATCAGCATGCTCGATTACACCCCTCTGCCAAATTCCAACCCCCTAGCTCAAATTTTGCAAAAAATCGATAAAGTCGATATCGATCGATACGAAAAGTGGACTGTGACACCCGCCGGGGCCCGAAGTGTATGTGTGCCAAGTTTGGTCCGGATCGGTTGAGAAATGGAATTTTCTATTCGGAACATACGGCGGAGCCGGGTACGCCAGCTAGTTTGCTAATAAAAAACTCATGATCCAACCTTCTGCTGCAATAACTTTCGTAAGATTGAGCTCACAAAAGTAAGTCAGTGTGAATCCGCTATAATCATCCAACACTGCGTGAAAAGTTAGAAGTTACGCCACATCTCCACACTTACCATTCTTTCTGCGACTTTTTCTGTGCTTCCTTGTCAAAGCTTTCTTCTAATCCAGCCGCTATATCCTCTCCAGGTATTTGCAATGGCATTTTCTATGAAAAATAAAATGAGGGTGGTTCTGGACATCAGTCGAAGAAACTGACTTTGAGCGTTAACTCGTCGAATTAGCAGCTAGAACGAATAAGATGGTTCTACTTGAAGTGAAGGTTTCTCTGCAGCGATAAGACTTGCAACGTGGATTTCCAGCTCACTCCTTCATATCTAAATATCAAGAGATTTATGCACAAATTATTGGGTTGTTTCAAGAGTCCTCACTTTTTAAAAATTCGATTTTGCTCTTTCTGAGTAGCATTAGAGACATTTTTAAATTTTTTGGGATATCAAATGTCCTAAGCTTGGCATTACTGCATAGAGCGAACGTCGCATTGCAACTATGTCTTTACCATAAATCTTCGAATCCAAAACTTTCTACAGTCGAGTAGATTTCCTACTTAATATAGTGTCCCTGCAGACGCGACAACGCTGGGGCGTCAATAAATGCCTTGCGAGTCCCCGAACTAGTGTTTTCCATTGTTTTCTTTGCTTATTTCATGCTTTTTTAGTTGATTCGTTGCTGATAAAGAGAAAAAGGGTAAGTTAAAGAGTAGTTTCTGTTTTCTGAGAAGCTCTATCATCGCATATTCACAGATATTCACGTGGAAGCATTTCGTCAGCTTGTCGAGACGCAGAGTAATTAGATGGTCCGACAGTCTCCACGCCAACTGGGCGGTGCCCAGAATCTCCAGATGAGCTGGCACTCCCCGGGTGCTCGGTGGTCCCCTCCCCAATTATGTCCCCCATTTTTATATACATGTTATAAATGATAAAATCATCTAGTCAAGAATTCTTCTGTTAAGATGCAATACAACAGGGTAGAGGGATCAAGTCCCGAGAGTAATTAACTCGTTAGACTTGACATGGAGGTCCCGGTTGTTTGAACTCATTCTAACACAATTTTTCTTGATGGGAAAAAAACTTAAAGCGTAGATTATGCAGATCTTAGCTTGAATCCACCGCCGGCACCAGCCCTCATCTCCTACGTCTCTACGTAGCTATTTTTCTCCTATTTTTTTTCTCTTATCTCATTTTCTTATTTATCCCTCGTTTTTTTTGAGTCAGGCGATGAGTCTGAGTTTTGTATACATACAATAATCCATCTACTGATATTTATCATTTTCTTTCTTCCTATTTCCGCGAGCCGTGATCCCCCGAGCCGTGAAAAAAGCGAACCGTGATTTTTCCGACGCGATCTTTCTAGACGAGTTCAACTCTCTAGATTGAGAATCCGCGAGCCGTGAATTCCGCGAGCCGTGATTTCCTAGAGCCGTGATATCCCGGAGCCGTGAATCATTGATATTTCTTTTTATTATTTTCCTTTCTTTTCTACTGGGAATTTCCTCACCAGATTTTTTTTTAACGCGCACATACATAACTCAACGACTCTATCGCCACAGCCGGCATTGTAAATATGTAAATAAGGTCTCGCAAGTGGAAAATGCACTGTGAACCAAAATTTTTTTTAATAAGGTCTTGCAAGTGGAAAATGCACTGTGAACCAAATTTTTTTTTCCTTTTCAACTGTCACTAGTGGAAAGACCACTGTGATAGCATTTTTTTTGACTCTCGCAAGTGGAAAACGCACTGTGAGCCCCACCAAATCAAGTTTTCACATGTAGAAAATGTACTGTGAATAACTTTTGCCTAAAAGGATTTCCACTGGCCATGTTTATGATTGCCTGTGGAATACCCAACGGCTATCTAATCGCCCGCGGTCACTCTAAAGGCTACTCTCCCAGCGCTTATTTTCTTAATGGCTAATCACTCAACTAAGAGTGACATTTAGCCGCCAGGAGTAGACACATGCTGCGGCAATGCCTTTGAGCCTTGTAGTCCATCGACGAACGTCTGGGCTACAGGTCAACTTCGCGTGATTGTGCATATATAAGCACATCACGGGCCGCGGACGACATCCATTCGTCGAAACGAGGAGTGGAGAAGGTATTCTGCTGACCTGAGGATTTGCCAACGAGCAACCAAGGACACGGAGCCAACTATCAACCACTACCATCGACCACTACAAGCTAGAAAGAAGAAAGAAAGTATTTTGCTGACCTGAGGACTATCAACTTCAAGTTAGAGGTACTCTCTTAGCTTGATTTTCTTTTTCTTGTTTCATTTAGTCACTTTTCCTAGTATTTTCCTTTGTATTTCTCATACTCTTGTATCTCATCCTCATTTCTTAAAAAAAAACCAAACAAAAAAATGCATTCGGTAAATTTTCTGTTTCTTATCGCGATAACTGCGCTAATTATGCCTACTTCCTCCGCATTCTCAATGGACTATCAATTATGTTCATCTGGTAAATCAGGCTGGCCTGTAGCCTTTCCTGAAACTATTTCTTGCGCGCAACCAACTAATTTAACTAACGTATTGTTAACAATGGCTTCTGTTTTTGTAGAAAAAACAGAACCAACTACGCTAAGTGCATTTCATTGTTTCAATAAGACTAGGAAAGTTTGCGCATCATCTTATCTACACATTTCTTTCTCGCTAAATAGCGATGAGGAGTTTATGTCTCCCATCGACCCAATTCTCTGCCATAATATTGCAAAGTCTAAAAAGTACCTTGGTGAACCGTTACACATATTTTCGCCCAAAGTATTCGGTTCGCAGCGTCCTATTCATTATTCTTATCCCTGGTTTTTTGGTCAAAAGTGCACAATCACCACAAATATTTATGTAGAAGAAGGCGAAATTGCCACTTTTGATGGTGACCGATTGCTAGGACAGTTTGGCGACATGGCAAATTGCACTCTTAGCCATGACTACTGTCAAATGTCGCATGGTACCGTAGTTTGGAAGTCAAAAGATGCTCAAATTGCTTGTAAATTTGTAAAAGCTATTGACAGTATTGCCTATGTCACACCAAATCACATTCTTCTTGAAGCAATACAATCCGCATTCACATACAAGAGCGTTTTCATTCAAAAATCACAACTTACAAAGTGGTGCTTGTCTGAAAACGCTATTCCAATGGACAATGGCGTATTCATTTTGCTTCCAGAACTTTTGGGAGAAGATTCTCGCACAATTTTTGATAGTAACATAACTCTAGTGCGAGAAATCAATGAAAAACACTTCAACTTCTCCAAAAGCTTTCCAATTTACGATGTAGACACTACCTACACTCATAAAATTCGCAGTCCTTATGCATCACATGGCAATACTTTTTCGACTTCTAGCAATGCCACTATTCTTTCATCAATACTTTTGAAATCAAAACCACTTCAAATCAACCAAGTGAAACCGCTGATCAGAGGGAAACGATCTAGCGATAACTCAAAACCCGCGCACAGCACAATTAACATTTCTGCTATAGTCGCAGAGCATATTGCATTGAATTCACCTCCAGTATTCTCAGCGCAGCCGTCTGAATTAAATACCAAGTTGCAGTATCTTAAATTCAAGCTTGACGAGGTACTTCAGCGCGATTTTTCTATCATGTTTGAGCGAATTTGCGTCTTGAACAATTTCAAGATTTTGACTATCAAAAGTATTGCTAAAAGCGATCCTACAAGTGCTGCTAGGATATTACTCAGCAGAGACAATATTTTCGCTATTTCTGCTGGGGATATTTTGATGATTTCTAAGTGTAAAACTATCCAAATTGATGAGATCTATCCGGACCATAAAGTGGATAGCAACTGCTATGTAGATACTCCGGTACGTGTCGGGAAAACTTTATTTTTCGTCCAGCCTGGCACACGTGATCTCAAAACCACATCTTCTTTTGCTGACTGTGGTCATTTACCATTAGGGGTTTACAATGATGGCACAAATCATTTTAAGTCATCTAATGGTTATGTCCACGTTTCTCACGTAAATTTAAATTTACCACAAAACTTGGCAAATCAAAGCATAGTTTTCAATTCTCCGCCTATTTTCCATTCGGACCTAGCCAAAATAAACACGGAGATAAAGTACATTAAAAATCGCATCAATACAGCAACCATAAAGTCAAACTTAGATGCTTCGCAAGTTCACGATCCTAATCTGAACACATTTCCTGAGCAACTACAGAATGAAGTTATGGAAACTGCTGATTTTCTTGAAACCAATGCTTTACAAATTCTACAATCGCAAAAATCAATAATTTTGAGGTCTATAGAAAAACATACTCTGGTAATTTATGCTGTTAGAGCAATTATCATTGCATTAGTTCTATTTCTGATAGCTCTTATCTTTTATCACGTCAAATTAGCGCGTACTTTCTTGAAAGTTCTCTTCAAAATGTTTCAAATTCTATTTCCGTCGTTTCACAAGAAAACTGCGAAAATAGAGCATAATGTTGAGGCATCTGCTCCGCATTTTCAAGAAAGTCATAGCTTTGTTACATTTCAAGACAATCAGTCTCAAACGCGCGAGCCAATTTATCCAAATTTACAGGACGAAAAGCAAGTTGAGACATCGTTTAGCACAAAAGCCGATCTCAACAAGCCTGTTACCAATTTCCACGATTTCAATCCTATCGTAATGTCTGTCCAGCAACTCGGTCAAAGCAACACCATATTCATTCCGCTAAAAATCAATAACTTCAGTACAACTGCCCTTTTTGACACTGGTTCAGCTATTAGCTTAATCTCAGATAGGTTTGTTCAAAAACTCAACATTCCTTTCAATAAGTCTTCCTTAAAAGAAGCTGTAGCAGCAAATGGTACTCCTATTCAGCTACTAGGCCAAATCACAGCCACTCTTTCTGTAGATAACATTGTCATTACAGTCACACCATTTGTAGTCAGTAATGCACATTGCTCAACTGATTTACTTTTGGGTAATGACTCGATAACAAAGTTATCTACAAGCGTAACAATAAACTATAAAGAAAAACAGGTTGTTTTTGAAAAATGTGCAGTACCAATGATAGATCCTAGCAGTGATCTCGTGCTCACCGAACCTGTTTACTTATCTTGTAAAACAATTCTCAAACCGCTTTCTGATACTGTTGTACAAGGCACTATAAGATCTTCTTATCCTCCCGACTGGGAATTTA